TATTGTTTGGCACGAGGGAACTAAATTTTGTCCCTGTTATCTGTGTATTTCAATTTGCTGTGCAGATTTTCATCCAATTTTATTCAAGGGAGGGCATATACATTTTGTAGGGCTGTATCTATCCAATTCTGCCTGTAACAAACACCCAAACAACCTAAAATATCAACTATAAGACAGACAAGTGTGAAGTAAAACTCTGGAGAACATCAAAGAAAAATGGCCATGCATCTGCTCTTTAATGTTTTCCTACGATATATTAAAATAAAAACAATGTTTCAGTCTCTTCACAAGTAGTAATTTATATTCTCTGGATTTTTTCAGCCACAACAACTGGATTCTCTTTTCTGATTTTTGCTGCAGCTTCTGCTTTGTAATCATAAGGACAGTTGTGCTTGTCAGAGTAACGGTGAAGTCCACAAAACAAATTTCCACATCGGCAGTCAAACCCTGTAAGGCCAACTTTCTTTCTGCACATGAAACATCTGTTCTTCTTTGGTTTGGGCAACTCAGGAGCTTTTTCTTCACTTTGAGAAGTACTGGGCTGAGAAACTGATGGACTGGGCTGAGTGACAACTGGCTCTGACACCTCTGTTTTCGGGGTAGTTATTTTGTCTTCTCTTGAAATGCTCATTTCTGTCATTTGCTGCGTTACAGGCAAGGCAGCCACAGGCACATTTCTTGATTTTTCAGTTGTGCTGCCAGCAGTACCTTCACAGTTGTTTAAACTAGTGTCTGCCCTTTGTACAGATGCAGAATCTGAGGTAGGACTGTTGGAACCACTAGCTGTTCCCATTGGGCTCATTCTGCCACTCTTCTGCTGTCTCTGAAGATGTTCTTTGAAGCAAACAGAACACATTCCATTTGTCCTAGGATTCCCATAAAAGCCACATCCTGTACTACACAGCATGGGCCCTGGGGTCTGGTTAGTCTCCTGAGCCATTGTTCTCCCTGCGGGGGCAGGAGCCGGGCTCGCGCGCGACGCCGGCGCAGTAGAGCCGGGCCGAGGCCTCCGGGATAGGTAAGCCGGCCGCCCTGGAGCCGCCGCGGCCGGCCGGCAGCAGGTCGTAGCCGCAGGCGGAGGTGGTGTCGCCGCCGCGGGTTCCTCCTTTGTTCCCGCAGCGACACCGAGCGTGGCCGGGACACGCTGGAGCTCGGGAAGTGGGAGGAGGGAAGCGGGGGGGGCAAAGAAGGAGGCGGAGGGAGGATCGAAGGCCGCAGCGGCTAAGGCGGCTCGCGGCGGTCGCCCGTCGTCGCCTCAGCCTCCACCGGCGGCGGGCTGGGCCGACTCCGAGAGCGAGCGGGGCGCGCGCAACGAGGCCTGGGCGCCGCGAGGGTCCGCGGATGGCGCTCTCTGTCGCTTCTGCTACCGCGAAGGGAGCTGCGCGGCTCCCGGGAGCGACGAGTCCCAAGCGGAGGTGCACACAGCTCCCCGCTCCGGCGGACTGACGCGCTCTCTCCGCCCGCCGCTCGGTCAGTGAATTATGAGTAGTTTTAAGGTGTTTAATGCTCAGGGTTGTTAGATGGGTTGTTCTACCAGTAGAAATGGGTTTAAATATAAATGGCTCTAACAGTGGAAAATGCTTCAGAACAGGTTGTGGATGTACACAGCTGAAGAGTTCTCTGTGAGAGCTCCTAACCCCATAGAGCCATGTTCCTCAGTGGGGAGAGACAGAAGACAAACTAAAAAGTCCTGGTCAAGATTCAGGGGTTGACTCTAGTCGATAAAGTGTTTCTCTAACTGGGATGTTTATACGCTGTATGATAAGAAGAGTGCAGAGCTGCTGACGCCTCTTCAAGAGTCAACTCATTCTCTCCTTGTCCAGCAGAACCCAATTTTTTCCAGGGTTGCAAGTGCTCAGTTACAAAGAACCAAATAAATGACTGTGTTTTCCAGCCTCCTTTATAGCGAGGGGTGGTCACAAGCTATAGACAGTGACGTATAAGCAGAGAGACCGGACAGGGTTTTGAAAACTCTTTAAAGGCTACTGATGCCGGTGGGACTTTTTTTTTGTCCTTTCCCCTTTCCCTTCTTCTCCCTGATATGTGTACAAGTTGGCTTGGGCTCAGATGTCATCTTGGGAGCGTGAGGACAAGAGACACATTCCTCAAGGATGGCAAAGGCAAAGCCCAAATCCTTGATGAATCATGAAGTCACCATGCCGGTCCCAAACTACCTATCTCCATCCTGCCTTTGCATGAGATAAAAATGACCCCTGATTCATTCCAGCCACTGGGTTTTTGAGGGGGAGAGAGAGGGGTGCGGGGTTCCTAGTACAGCAAGGTGACTTCTCACATGCACAAAGTACAAGGTGCATATTTGACATTTTCTGTCCCATTCTCCTCTTCTTTAGTCTACCAAGTTCAAATATTTAAAACGTAAAGTTCCCTGGCAGAATATATAAAGTACCTAGTAGTAAATGCTATCTGATTCCTTTTCTCCTGAAGTTAACCATTTATCCAATGGAAGGAATGAGAATGTTAATTTTAAAAGTGCCGTGAGGGTCATTCCCCAGTGAGACCAGGTTGAGGTGAGGTGCCATGCTGGGGGCATGCACGTTAGCTGACCACCACTCAAATTTCCACTAATTTTTATAATTATTGCTCAAAAATTCACCTGATGTTTTAAGAAAATCAATTAATTAAGACTCTAAGTCTTTTGAATAGTTCTACCTCGATTATAATCACATTCAGAGAAAAAATTAAAATTGTACTCAAAAATAGCTGTGGAGACCCCAAACTGAAGAATTTACTGTGAGAACTGCCAACCCTAGAGAGCCATTCTGCAGTGGGTAAGACAGAAGACAAATAGACACAATTCTTGTTGGGATTTTTAGGCATATTTTAAAGCTTTGTGAATTTCCATGAAGACTTGTATGAGATAAAAGAAATTAGAAGGAAAAAAGAAGTCTTTATAAAGTGATTTGATGACTTTTTTTTTAACTCCTCAAGTTTCCATTTTGAAAGTCACGTATCCCTAGAAATAAGAAAAAAAAAAATGAAAGCAGCTCCAATGCGCAGTTCTGGGATCTTATGGGATCTGTTAGTTCCAAACATAAATAGCAAACTGCTCTCCTCTGATTGACTCTGCTCTACAACCATTACTTTAGCCCCTGACAGACAACTTCAGGAAGACCTTCCAGTTCAAGGAAGACCGAGAAGCAGAGGGAAGATGTGCTGGGATGGGAGAGAGGCAGCTTCCTGACTTGGTCCCCCTCTTCCCACCCCAGCCACTTAAAAAGCCCTTTATCCATCTTGGCACAAAAAGCCAATTCAGCTCTCTCATGGAGATGATGATGGTGAGGTGCAATGGCGGGCTGTCTGTCAAACATTGACTGCGCTCAATGTTTTATGAGAATAAACGATTTAGCCACATAACCACAAGGTGACACATTCCTCCCCACTCTGAGACTCAGAGATCCAGTGGAAAGTCAGGTGGAAGGTGGTTATAGTGCAACATGGAGATTTGCAAAGCAGTAAGTCAGCCCCCAGCACTCAAGATCCACGTGGCTTCACCCTACAGCCT